GAAGCCTGGCAAGTTAATCAATGGCTTTCCACTATTTTCCCCCCGACCAGTTGCCGCCTGTTCTGTCGATTAAGCGTGTTTTTCCGCTCTCTTTGGTCGTGGAAACAAGTGAAAAACCTGGCACAACACACGGGGCCACGCCCCTTACACACACACACACACACTCATGCGTGCATTTGATTACAATTTGTCGCCCTTTTCAGCTTGTTCAGCAAACACTGCGGATGCAAAGGGGCGTGTGTCCTGTGTTCGCCAGAGGTCCTGGCGGTTGCCAAGAGTCCTGCAAGGACCTGCACATAAACAAATTTTTAATCAAGACTAGGTTTTTAGCAAATTTCAAGCTAATTTTAAGAGTTTCTTTGAATTAATTTAGATTTTTCTTAAAGGAAAATTAGCTTTATTTTTCCTTGAAAAAAAGGGATATATTATCCTTTATCCTTTAACCTTTAACCCTTTTTTTTTCTTTCCTTTCATTTTGTTCCGTGTTTAAGGGGTTAAGCGGGTTGACTGAGGGGAAAACACGGTCATGATTGCCTTTCACGAAGAGGAAGCAACGCGACAGCGGCAGACGGAAGCTGGGACGGATTTGGCCGTTGGGCGATGGGCGTGGCTGCACTCGACCATATCACCCCCAACCTCCCTACTCTCCCCTATCTACGTTGACAGCCCCCTTCCGCTGGCAAACACCTACCCAGTTAACACTCCTCTGACAGATTGCCGCCTGGCACTGCTGCAATTTCCTTTTGTCGCCTGTCAGTTTGGCGCGGCTCCTTCAGCTTCAGATTCAGCTTTGCCTCCTCCTCTTGGATAACCCACTCTTTCCATTTCGATTTGGCTGCATCATTATGGTTGCGATGGCAGGCCGCAGGGCCCAGTCTCAGTCACAGTCACAGCAATTTCCCTTTGGAAAATTAGGGATAAACACCACGCATATTGGTCAGCTAATCGAAATCCGGCATTTTCTGGCTGAGGGGATTTTTCTCATTTATGAAGGGTTCTTAGTCTCAGTTCAGTTGATGATAGTTTTTAGGTGTGTTCTAAGCTTCTTGTGTTCACTTTTCTTAACTATTTTTCGCTTCTGTTTACTCCTGTTTACTTAAGTTCACTCCTCTTTACTCCTGTTTACTCCTGTTCACTCCTCTTTACTCCTGCTCTCGCCTGACTTCACCAGTTTACTTCTGCACATTCCTTTTGACTCCTTATCAATCCTGTTTTCTTTTATTCACTTTTGATCATTATGGTTCACTCCTGTTCATTCTTGTTCAGAGCTTTTCCCTTCTGATTACTTTTATACACTCCTGTTTCCATCTCTTTACTTCTGTTCATTCCTTTTCCCTTCTTCCTTCTTCTTTCTTTTTCCTTCTTCTTCCGCCGTCTTCCTTCATCTTCCTTCTTCTTCCTTCTTCTTCCTTCTTCCTTCTTCTTCCTCCTTCTACCTTCTTTTACCTTCTCTTACCTTCTTTTACCTTCTTCTACCTTCTCTTTCCTTCTGATTCTTTCTGTTCACTCCTCTTCCCTCCCGTTCCTGTTGACTCCTTTCCACTTGTGTTCTCTCCTGTTCACTCCTGTCTCTGCTCATTATTTTGGCGACAGTGAAAGGCTGGGATATTCTGCATAATTGTCGCAGGACATGCACTCCATATGGCGCTTCCTCTTTCAGGGAATATACCCCTCTCCTTTTCCCCGTAACTCAACGTTATTACAAAATTGTGTCTTTGTATTTTTGTTTGCACATTGCGTTGCCATGGCTAGCGACATTATTATTGCCCTGCCCCCCCGGCTCCCCCCTGGAAAAGTCCTGTTTTCGCCACGCCCCTGACTGCTGGCGATGCCGCCTGCCTGACCCGTTGTTTGGCATATGCCATTGTTGGTGTTAGTGTAAACAGCAGTGTAGCAGCAGCAGCAGCAGCAACGGCGGCTGCGGCGGCAACAACAACAACAAGTGCAAACAAAATCTGCATAAACAAACTAACACACACACATACACTGAGTATACAGAACACACACACACACACACACACATGCACATGTACTGAGGGCATTGCCCAAGCCATGTAACCATGTATTGTTGTTTTTGGTTGAATTATTAGATTGCCTGGAAAAATTGCTGACCCCGCCGCCTCTATATCACTGCATGTGTTCAGCCCTTTTCCTCCGCTTTTCCTCTTATTTTTTCCTCCCATTTTCCCCTGTCACAAGCCAGCTCTGAGCGGCAAACTGACAAACTGACAAACAAAAGCTGAGCCGGAGCTACGTTGTTGGCGCCTTTTTTGCCAACTTAATTACTTTTGAAATAGTTGAAGGCAGGCACACACAAACACATTGCCTCTGACTGGACTTAAGGCTTGGGAAGAGGAAACTTCAAGGATCGATGCATATTTCAGCTGCCGGAAGTTGGTTTTAATGAAGTTTTACAAGTATTCGACGTGGCAAGGATAATAATACATCATCATATATGGAGGGAGAACCCTCTGCCGATCAATAATTGTGAATGCATTAGGGCATCATCATCATCGTCATCCTCATCATTACAGCGAGTGCATTTCCATTTAATCACTTTACCACATTTGTTATGAGAGGCTCCTTCCTCCTCCTCCTCTGAGCTCTTTGGGGAATGCACTTATGCTCGGGGAAAGAGAGACACTCGACTCTGAGACTGACTGAGCGAACGAAAATCGCTTTCAATTAATTGGGAAAGCTCTCAAGTGCAGCCTTGAAACATTCTTTGGTATAATTCCCGCCAGCTGCCTGCTGCCTGATGGCTGCCTGCTGCTGGCCTTCTCGATTAAGTCCCAAACCAATTTCCCACTTCGCAGGGATCATTTTCCGGGAAAATGCTTCAGTCCCAGCCTCAGACCCCCCTCCCAGTTCATGAATCAATGAGTGCATTCTCCGGATTCCACGAATCGCGCCTGCTGCAGCGCTGCAGCATAATGGAAATGCAGCAAACAAAGGGGGAAAATGGAAAATCCCGGGTATGGAAAAGCCTGCTGCTCTACTTTGATTGTGCTCTGGGAAAAAAAAACACGAGTAAAAGCGAAAAAAAATTGAAACAAAAACCGGGGACTTAAGCTGTTGGATTTTTAGTCAGGAGAAAATGAAAGAAAGTAAAGCGCGGATCGGCCGGTAAGGCTGGAGATTTGCCATTGTTGCTGGCCATAATTGGAGAGAAGAGAGAGTGGGAAAATCTCTGCAGCAGCAACTCGCTTTGATTGCAATCAGAGGTGGCATTGTCTCTCAATTCAGCTGCAAATCCAGTCGTCAGCTGGGAGTTTCACTACCAATACAGTCCCCTTTCACTCAACTTTCACTCCTTTTTTACTCCCTCACTCCTCAGTTGGTAGTTTTACTACCATTTCAGTCCTCTTTCTCCCTTAATTCCTCTTCTAATTCCTATGTTCACTGATTCTCCCGATTGTCTCCTGTGATTATCCTTTTGATGGTTTATCCCTAGCCTGTGACAAGTGTTTCTTTACACTGATAAAAGTCAGGGAAAGTTTTGAGAGTCCCCAAAAATATGGAAAATATGTGGAAAATATGCCTACAAATTGTGAATTTAAACTTTATTTGTATAATTAAATTTCTCTAATATTATTTTATCCTTTATATTCAGACAAACTCAATAGTTTATATAAAAAATATTAATAATATTTAAAAAATATTAAAAATATGTATATATAAATAATTGTAAATAAATATATAAGTATTTTTAAAATATTTAAAAATTATAAAAAATATTTTTAAAAAATATAGAAAATATTAAAAAATTAAAAAAAAAATTAAAATAATATAAAAAACAATATAAATAATATAAAATAAATATAAATAATTTTTAAAAATATATAAATAATTAAAAAAATATTAATAACATTAAAAAATATAACAAAAAATTAAAATAATATAAAAAACAATATAAATAATTTAAAAAAAAATAAATAAAATTCTTATGCACTAATAAAATCCATGAAATCCGGAAAATCCCTTCAGAAAGTCGCGAAAATATGCCTAAAATATAAGACTAAAACCTGTTTTTCTATTGATATAGATCATTATCACTATTATCTGCTTTTATACTAAAAGAAACTCTAGTTTCTAGATTTTAGACTCTATTAAAACTGACATAATTTCTTTGCCTGCATTTATCCTTTTCACCACAATGGCCGTCAATCAATCAACGTATCAATTGTATCAAATCGTTATGCATAATTTGGCCAGACATTCATCATCATCGCCTTGGGCAGTCAGTAGTCAGAGTCTGTTGTCGTCAGTCCAGGTCCATCGTCAGCTGGTAATGAAGCATTTAAGCAATTCGCCAACGCAATCACAGGACGCTCTCTAGCACGGGCAACGCCTTCCGCCTAATGATGGCCATTAATTGTTCTTAGCACACACACACACACACACAAGGAGCTAGAAAGAGAGAGAGAGGAAGAGCTCCTCCTCCTCCTATGGCCATCATTTTTTATCGCTTTGTCACACGCCCCCTTCAGGCGTTGGCTGGTTCGAAATGTGGGTTGTGCCTGTACAATGTGGCGTATGATTAATGTGCCCTGGCATGTCTTTGTCTGCTGTTGCGGGCTGCTGTCTTGTCTATGGCTTTGTTGATGCCTCATCTGCCACACACACACACACACACACACAGGAACAGACGTGAGAAGATACTGGTATATATACACACACATACATAAATACCAGAAGCCACAGCCCTTGCACACATCACACACATCAGACATTACGCATACGCAGTGTTGGCCCTGCACAGAATTGCAAATTCTCCAAATATCTTGCTTGATTTTAGCCACTGACAGTGACAACTTCTTAGGCTCAATAGGGGGAAGAGAAAAGGGGTAAAGGCGAGGGCTAGACTAAAACTAAACATCAAATTACTCCTCTTTACACTCTTAAAAACATTGCTATACTCCCTCCTCTCTAATTTTAAATAAATTTCCCGTAACTAATTTTCCTCATTTTCTCTTTTTTCCCCGCCTCCTTCTAAACAGGCCGCCTCACCGCGATGGGAGCCACAAATAGCCGTGCTCTGCGAGGCCGGACAAATCTATCAGCCGCAATATCTGTCCGAGGAGGGACGCTGGGTGACGGACCTCAGCAAGAAGACAACCGGGGCCACATGTTTGCGTGATAAAATGGATTTGCTTGATTACTGCAAGAAGGTGAGTGTGGAAAATGCGTAACGATTCCGATTCCAAACCAGATCCCCCCTAGATATATCTAGCTAGCTGCATGCATTTGATTGAATTGAATTCAATTTGAATTGAAATTGTAGGGGAAAAAGGCAAAAGCCAAAAAGGGAAGCCGCATGAAAAATTGCAATTTCCATTGCACTTTTGCATATGGAAAAGTTGTTCAGATTGCGCATACGCCATGTGGTCAAGAGGGGGAAACTACGAGCTGGGGTCGGGGAAGAAATGTAATTTTATGGCCAGGCTAACGCTCAACTGAGCCGAGCCTCCAGAATGCAAAAGAGAGAAAAGCGAGAAAAAGCTTCAGAAGAAAACCAATAAATCAAAAGCAGGCAAGGCAGGAGGAGCAGCCAATATGCCCGGATCCTGAGTGGTCCCTGCTATATATGGCATCAACAATTTAATTTGCGCTGCGTTGAAAGCGTTTACATTGAGACAACATTAAACGACACTTAATTAATTTTCCATTAATTTCCGCTTTTTGCATTTTCTGCGGGACCTCACCAGGACACACACAACACAACACATGTGTGTGCTGCTGTTGCTGCCTCTGCTCCCTGTCGTCGCTGTCATAAATTGGCATTCCATGCCAGAGTTCTCCCCTCTTCCTCACTTCCTTTTACTTTTTTAATTAAATTTTTCTCTTTTGCCTCAACGCGGGCTAATGTAAGCCCGGCCCCGGCTCCTGCTCCTGTCTCGCTCCCCTTCCCCAGTTTCTTGTTTTTACATCATCATCATCATCTCCGTCAAATGTTCAATAATAGTTCATAAATATTGACACATTGGTCCCGTCCCGACCTGCAGATGTTTTTTTTCCCCCCATGAAAATGACATGTGGCATCGGCAGGGAAAATGAAATCAGATCACAGCTGTTTGTGTCTGTGTGTTTGCAGCTTAAATAAATCCGATTGCTGGCATATATAGCATATAGTTCGACCTTATTTCAAATTTAAAGAGCATCAATATTCGCATACAACAAAGTCCTAGGATTGCCATTGATTTGTAATGAAATTATAGCAACACTCTCACAGGAAAATGTGGTACCTTTGATGTCTGTTTTCTGGGGAGGGAAGGACTTTGGTTTATAATGATCCTTGTTAGCCTTCTTTTATTGAATTATGACACAGATTTTGGTCTTGAATAGCAGGGCTGGGAGTATTGGGACAAGTTGATCTTTTTAGACATTTTTTTTCTGTTTAAAATTGGAAAAAATATCCAATACATAATTTTAAAGATTTTTTAAAGGTTTTTAAGCTGCGATTTTAAAGAGTTTTTTTTTTTTAATGAAATTTAGAAAGGTATGAAACAAAATTTTATATAAAATAAGGATCTGGTTTTATGCTTTTTATTAGAAAAATCTTTGAATAAATAAGCTTCAGAGTTAGGATCAAGTTTGATGCTCTTTAAATAGAAATTTTTAAAAATAAAATTGGGATCAATAGAATAGAATAGATATTTTGAAGATTTTATAAAGTATTTGCCCGGTAAATTCTAGTAAACTCTGTATATAAGAACAGAATTTGGTTCAAGTTTTATGCCATTTAGAAAGGAGAAGATCCTAAAATCTAGAGGGTTTTCTGCAGGAAATTTTCAGGAAATTCCTATATAAAAGCATAAATTTAGAATAATACTTAAAAAAAAAAAAAAAAAAATAAAATAAAATAGTATCAAGTTGAGTTCTCCCTCTCTAAAAATTATTCTGTAATCTGATTTAGCTTCAAAACCAGAGTTCAATGTTGATTTTCCAAGCAAAACTAAGTCATTGTCAGGCGTTTTGGGGATTTGGTTTAAGGTCTCCAGAGCGTGTCAGATGAGGTCCTGGCAGGTCCTCCACATACTCCTTCCCTGCCGCCACTCATCGCCCAGCGTCATTACGATCATCTGTATGCAAATAATGAGCCCGGCAAGCTGTCAAAACTGTCGCATTTGATTCTGACATGCAAATTTCAACCAGACTCCTGACTCCTGACTGCTGTGCTGGCTGCTGCTGCTGCTGCAGGTCCTTGGCTGTCGCCTGCAGTTGCTGTGTTGCCACAACATAAATCGAAATAACACACACACTCACACACACACACACGCATGTGCGCCTGATGTATGTAAATGACAAATATTGTATTGGTTTTTCATTTGCATTTTGTTTTCTCGTTTTTCATTTTGTTTCGTTTCATTGGGTTTTTGGTTTTGGTTTCTCTTTCTCTTCATTTCTCCCTGTATTTTTTTTCTCTTCTGTATTTTTTTTCTCTGCGATATTTTATGTAATTTTCACTGGCTTTTATACCATTTTTTTTTCTTCTCGGCGGCTCTCACACATTTTATAATTATGGTAATTTATTTATTATGCTTAATTTATGTCGACGGCGGCAATGTTTTTGATGTTTCTGCCCCCGTTCGTGTCGCCGCTGGCGTATGCCGCGTATGAAATCCAATAAAATCGTAATTAAGCTGAAGAGCCCGCAGCCGAACGAATTGGTTTCTGCTCGATGGACGATGCTCGATGGCTTTAAGATGGCTCTCGGCCTACGCCGTCGAGTTCTTTGGGAACACATGTCGTATGCGTAATGTAGGCGGATGCGAAATTTCAGCATATACGTAGACGTTTACGTAGTGCAAGAGCTGGTGGTGCAGCATTTACAAGGAACTTGTTACATATTTTAAATATTAAGAAAGCCAATTTTATACAAATTTCCTGGGAATTTCCTAGGAATTTTGTAGAATTTTTTATGGTTTTTAAACACGTGGAGATTTTTATTAATTGTTAAAAGAATCAAGTAAGCCCGGAAGGATCTAAGTTGGTTTAACTATTTCAACTTTACGCAATTTTTAATTTTAAATGTGAATCACAAAGCCCTTAAAAAACCAAAAAAGTCCCAAAGAATTCCCAAACAAGTCTCATAAAAAGAACCAAGAAGTCCCAAAGAAGACCCTTGAAAATGACAAAGTCCCAAAGAATTCTCGAAGAAGTTTCAAGGAAGTCGCAAAGAAGTTCCAAATAATTTTCAAAGAAGAACTATTAAAATCCCAAAAAAGTCTTATAAAAGTAGCAAAGACGTCCCAAAGAAGTCCCAAATAAATCCCAAGGAATTCCCAAAAAAAGTCCTATAAACGTGACAAAGAAGTCCCAAGGAAGTACCATAAGAGTCCCAGAGTCCTATAAAAGTCCCAAATAATTCACAAAAAAAAGTCCCAAAAAACTCCCAGCTAACGAAGGCTTTTCCTCGCTTTCGTCCTGCGTCCAGTCAAAAAGGATATCGGGCCTGTTTTCCCTCTCCAACTGCTGACTCTGTCCCCATTAATGTCAAGCCTGCAGGACAAATTTGGCTATTTGCATGCAGTTTTTGCACTCACTTGACTCACGCACACACACATGGTCACACACTTGTTCCCCACTTGACAGAGCGCCCGTTCCATTCCGTTTGTTCCTTTTTCCGTTCCGTTTTTGCGGAACATAAATCACGCGCCGCAACACTTTTTCGCAGCAACGTTTTCCGTTTGCATTTTTTCTTTTTGTTGTTTTTTTTTTTCGTTTTATTTGGTTTCACCTTGAAAGAAATTAATTAAAAGCGCTTTATTGTCCTTTTTATATAGTGGTGTGGTGGCGAGGAGAAACTGCGCTTTTTACCCGCCCCTCTGTGTTTATATTTATTTATATCATTTTTTCCCAATTTGTTGGGGATTTCTTTTGGTTTTTTTGGTTTTTTTGTTTTGTTTTGTTTTGGTTTCGTTTCAATTTTGGTACGGTGTGGGGTTCCCCCTTTTAGCGCTTGCTCTGCAATTCAAATGGAAATTAATTAATTTGCCACCAGGGAGAGTGTGTGTGTGGGGGTGGGGGACTGGCTTTATGTTTGCCTTGTGCGCGGTGTCAGGCTTCAAAATGTTGCTCGCTCCGCATTTATTTGACTCTGAACACTGACTGACTGACCCATCTGCCTGCCACAGGGAGAACGAGATTGGAGAGCAGCAAGCGAGCGAGTTTCGAAATCCCCGCGTTGTTTGCTTGTTTGGCTTGGCTAATGAGTTAAATTACATGTGCCAGAGAGAAGAAGGATATATCTCGGCAATGCTCTGGTTTGGGGATGAGTTTTTCCCCCGAAAATTCCACAAAACTCGGGTTCGCATTAATAATGATAAATGAGACTTGCTGATGAGTTGCCTCTGCCTGCCTGTCTCTGCCTACGACGACGACGATGCCTTTCCAAAAATTAGGAACCGGCCATTAATGCGGGAAAATTGCATTTTGCAGACATAAATCGCATCTAAATTCAATTAACTACATTCAATTCGATACTGGGTTCGTCGGGGGGTTGGGGGTTGGGGGTAATGTAAGCTCATTTGGTGGAAAATCTCATTAAGTGACTGGGCGAAGGGCCATGCAACCGCGGAGCAGAACGTTAATTAGGAAGGCTTGTAATTGAATATCCCCAAAAGCATTTCCTCGACTCATGTGTGTCGGTGTCTGTGTGTGCTTATCAGGCTCCTTGCTGTGTGTGTGTCCTGAGTCCTGTGTCCATTTTCTTGCATTGATTCCGCTGCCTCATCTTCCGCTGATCGCTCAATTAGTACGAGTGTTTGGCGTCGCTTCTGATTATTGCCTCCTCCTTCGACATGGCGCGCTCCTCTCTCTGCGCTTCTCATTGGAGGCTTTCCTAAGTTCCGGCTCAACCGATTACCGGGGCCAACTATTTAGCTATTTAGCCACCCCGCCCTGCCCCTCCCCTCCTCTCTCTCTGTGTGTGTGCTAATTATGCCCTGTCAGCGCCTCAAACGCATCCGCTTCGAGAGCGAAACCCAGCCTTTCATAGAGACACGTCGCTTCGAGAGCAGCACAAACACTGCATAATTTCAGCAACCGGCTGGAATAGTTTGCGCATCATTTGAGCTCTGGCCTCGCGATGCTCTCGGTGCTGTAATTGCGCCACTGAAGTTGGTCGGTTGCCTGCTGACCTGAAGCCCCGCCACCATCCGGTTACCAA